GCCTGGGACACGGGGTGGGGGGATTTAAGGGGATCGTCAGGGGGCAGGGAGGGGGCTGCTTGGGGGGCAGGGAGGGGGTGGGAGGGGGATGTGGGTTTGCCTGGGACACGGGATGGGGGGATTTAAGGGGATCGTCAGGGGGCAGGGAGGGACTTTAGAGGGTTTTGGGGGGCAGAGGGTGGGAGGCAGATTTGGGGACGGGGCAAGAGGGTTTGGGGGAATGTGGGGGCTGGAAGGGGATTGGGGGGCTAGGTGGGTGAATTATGGGGGCTGCGAACAGGGTTGGTGGCTCAGGGGACAGGTGGGGGCATCATGGGGGGTGGGGAAAGTGGGGGACCAGGAGAGGGGGGTTGGGGCAAGGGTGAAAGGTCACTCTGGGGGGCCCAGCTGCTCACCACCCCTCCCCATCCCCCCAGGACCCGGCGCTGAACGTGGGGGACTTTGAGTCCCTGCGGGCCCCGCTCGACATCCCCATCCCCGACCCCGCCAAGGAGAAGGCAAAAGCCGAGCGCCGCAAGGTGAGCTGGGGGGGACCCCAACATCGGGGGGAGCCCAACACGCCCCCCCCCCCCGGCGTGACAGCTGAGACTGGGGGGGAGTTGGGTCATGAGGGTCCCACAAACCCACAGGTCAGATCTGGGGCTCTCTCCCTCCCTGCACCCCCATTTTCTCATTCTGTTCTTTTGGGGGGTTCACCGGATTGGGGGGTTCACAGTTCCATCGCCCCTCAAGGGAGGAGGGTGATGGGGGGGGGGGCTGGGACTTCTACCCTACACCTCCATTTTCTCCTGTCCTTCTCCTCCGGGGTAGAAGGAAGAAAAGAAGGAAGAGAAGAAAGACGAGAAGAAGTCGGAGGAGGAGGATAAAGGTGAGTGGGGGGCCCAGATCTGGGGGGGGGCCTCCATTGACGGGGATTGGGCCCCTAGCCCCGCTGGTTCTGGGGGTCTGTGGGTCCGACCCCCCCCATTTGTCTGTCTTTCCCCAGCGCCCCCCTGTGGCCCCGTGAGCAGCAACGAGACGGTTGTGGGGCTGGTGAGCCGAGTGAAAGCCGAGATCCAGGGCGCCAAGGAGGAGCTGGGGCTGGTGAGTGTGAGACGGAGCCAAAATATGACCCCGGCCTGGCCACAGTGCAACACGCACCCTGCACGACGCTCGTCCCCCGTGCGCACAACACGGCCCTGGCCAGGCCACCGTGCAGCACACCCCCTGCACGACGCTCGTCCCCCATGCGCACAACACGACCCTGGACACTGCCACCGTGAAACACACACACTCTGCACGACGCTCGTCCCCCGTGCGCACAACACGGCCCCGGCCAGGCCACTGTGCAACACGCTCCGTGCACGACGCTCGTCCCCTGTGCACACAACATGACCCCGGCCTGGCCACTGTGCAACACGCACCCTGCACGACGCTCGTCCCCCATGCACACAACACGAGCCTGGACACTGCCACCGTGAAACACACACCCTGCACGACGCTTGTCCCCCGTGCGCACAACACGGCCCCGGCCAGGCCACTGTGCAACACGCTCCGTGCACGACGCTCGTCCCCTGTGCACACAACATGACCCCGGCCTGGCCACTGTGCAACACACAGCCTGCACGACGCTCGTCCCCCATGCGCACAACACGGCCCCGGCCAGGCCACCGTGCAGCACACCCCCTGCACGACGCTCGTCCCCCATGCACACAACACGAGCCTGGACACTGCCACCGTGAAACACACCCCCTGCAGGACGCTCGTCCCCTGTGCACACAATGTAAGAGGATGCACCACACGCCTAGGTAACACACCCAGCAGGTCCCATCCCCTCCAACGGGGCAGAAGGACACACACTCATGGTCTCTCTCGTCCCCAGGTCTCTGTCTGGGTTCAACTCCAGGTGCCCCGTATCGAAGACGGCAACAATTTTGGGGTCGCAGTCCAGGTGAGTGTCCCCCCTTCTCCAACCTGCCCCCCACTTACCCCCCCAGCTCATTAACCCCCCCTCTCCCCCTCCCCAGGAGAAGGTGTTTGAGCTGATGACGGGCTTGCGGACGAAGCTGGAAGGATTTCAGACCCAGATCTCCAAGTGAGTCCCAATTTTGGGGGGACCCCTTCCACCCCCAAATCCAAGCCAGGGACCCCTCCCACCCCCGTCCCATCAACTTGGTTAAAAGCAAAACAAAGAATCAACCAACCACCACAAGAACCAAGAATATTCAAGGGCAAAACCGGCTGTTAAATGCAGGGGGGAAAGAGCTTGACAAATCCAAAGGAGTTAAATGCCAAAAACCCTTAAAAGGAAAAATTGGATTTTTTTTTCACAAAAGCAAGGAATCGAAATGGCAACAAACTTCATTCAATGCAACCTTTTAAGCTCACAAAAATCCCCAAGGAAATTAAATCCCAAACGCTGCGCCCAATGCCGAGACATTTATTTAAAAAAAACAAGGAAATTAAATGCCCAAAATGCTCATTAAAAACAAACGTGGCGTTTTTCCAACAAGCAGGAATTCAAATGCCACATTTTGTGGAAATGCAAATTTTTAAGCTTGCCCCAAAAAGGAGGCAATTAAAATGACACCAATTTTGTTCATTTTTGTAATACTCTGCAAAAGAGAGGAAGTTTTAATGTAAAGGGGTGGGGGAGCTTTGTTCACAGCAAAAGTTTTAGAGTCATCAGGAACCAAGGACATTTTAATGCCTAAATAACTTCGTTCAATGGGAAAACGATGAGCATTGACCAGACGGAACATTTTAATGCAAAATCTTTGTGAAATGTGACATGTTAAGGTTGCAAAAAGACCATTTTGCATTTCACAGGTTGTTGTTTTTTCTTTTTCATTAACAATTAGAACGTTTGCATTTAACTAAGTTGTCGGCCTTTAAGTTTTGGTGGCCGTTTGGTTTGGTTTTTCGGAGAACTGAAAAATTTCCACTTAAATTTAATTTAAAAAAACCTGTTTAAAAATCAAATTTGAGTTTATTTGGTTGTTTCTGCAGCCTTAAAGTTTTGCACTTCAAAGGGGTTGTCCATTAAAATTCTGTTTGTTTGCAAAGTACAGTTTGTCCATTTGAAATGTTTTCACATTTGTTTTTCCAAGTTAAATTGGCCTTTAGTTTTATCCAAAACAATTGTTTCCTCAGTCCCTTTGCAGCCATTTTCTGAATTAAATGCAAAAAATTTAATTTGCAAAAGCCAAACTAAGGAAACTAAAATGCAAACAAACAAACAAACAAACAGGTATTTTCACACCCTCAGTACGTTCCCTTTTCTATGCATTAAAATTCCCTAATTTTGCAGGTTTATTTTTTTACTTTGCACATTTTCCTGCATTTAATTTTTGTTTCAGAACTATAAAACTTGCATTTCATAACATTTGTTTGCATTAAAAATTTCTCTCTACCAGCACACATTCTGTTTCTTCCCCCCAAGCTTAAAATGTGCATTTTAAATTGCCTCCTATTTAAAACAATCTTAATATTTTGCATTTAGCAACCATTTGTGCATTACAATGATTTCGACTTCACAACCTTGATATTTGATATTTTAAGAAGTTTTGCATTACAATTTTTCCTCTCCTTTGCAGCCTTCATATTTTGTAATTTAAAAAGGAAGTTAAAATGCACAGTGTCGGTAGATGCAAAAAACATTAAATGCAAAATGTGAAGGATGCAAAGGGGAAGGTTACTGTAAAAAAAAATTGTTCAATGCAAACGTAAAGATTGGAAAAATATTCTGTGTGTTAATTTCCTTGTTATTGGAAATTAAAATTCTTGCACTTTTAAAAAATGTAAAAAACATTACATGCAAAATCTTTAAGCCACAATCCTACGAATACTTATACATGTGCTTGACTTTACTCCTGGGTGTTAGTATCACGGGTAATAGACCTAACATTAAGCCCAGGTATATGTGTTTGTGGAATTAGCAACTGAATTTGCAATTTAAAAAAGCTGTGAAGAGTAAATGCAAAAATTGTTAAATGCAAAATTATCCTGCCCCCCCCCCCAAAGGAAATTAAATGCAATAAAACTTAGTTTCCACATAACATTTAAGCTTGAAAACTAGCAAAAAAAATAGTTAGTTTCCAGAATGCAAAAATTTTTTGTCAAATGCAAAACATTTTAGTTCTGTGTTATGAATCGAATTTGAGGTCAGTACAAGGAGCCATAATACTTTGCAGGGATCAGTATTTGTGCACATTTAAATTCCTTGGTCGCTGGTGTTCCCTCAAGATTGAAAATAAAATCGGAAATGCCAAATTTTTAATCTTGCAAAACCAAAGCCTCCCCCCAGGAAACGTAACAAGCCTAATGCCGCTCAATGCCAAATCAATGAACGCGGCCAAGAGGGTTTGAATGCAAATCCAACTTCGTTACCTGCAGATCGTTTCCTGGTTTGGGGGGGCGCGTTACATTTTCTACAATTTTGTTAAGTTAGGAGGGTAGAAAACAAGGAAATTCTCACTGCCCCAAAACTTCATGACGGTCACACAGTGGAGAGATTGGGCTACCCTTGTAGGGGGAGCCACCTGCAAGGCGCCCCCCGCAATGAGAGCCCCCTGCTCGTCCTTCCTCACCCCCAATTTGGGGCTTCAGCTCTGACTTCTGATTCCCCCGCCACACATAGGTATTTTTCCGAGAGAGGCGACGCAGTGGCTAAAGCGGCCAAAAATCCTCACGTGGTGAGTGTCTGGGATGGGTGCAGCCGCCCGGACGCCTGGGTTCCCTGCTGTGCGGGAGAGGGGGTGCCCAGACACCAGGGTTCTCCACTGTGCGGGAGAGGGGGTGCCCAGACACCAGGGTTCTCCACTGTGTGTGGGGGGGGGGCGCCCTGATGCCAGGGTTCTCCACTGTGCGGGGGAGGTGTGGGGGTGCCCGGATGCCAGGGTTCTCCACTGCGTGGGGGGGGGCACCCGGACACCAGGGTTCCCCACTGCACAGGAGGGGGACTGCCCGGAAGCCTGGGTTCCCAGCAGGGGCTCTGGGACACCAGGGATGGTGGGGGAGACACTGGGCCCCTCATTTCCCTGGTTCTGCCCCCCGCAGGGTGATTACCGGCAGCTGGTGCACGAATTGGACGAGGCGCAATATGCTGAGATCCGGCTGATGGTGATGGAAATCCGGAACCTCTACGTGAGTGGGGGGGAGGGTCTGGAGAGAATCAGAGGGTTCGGCCAGGGGGATTGAGGGGAATAGCTGGGAGAGTGCAGTGAATGGGGAGGGGGGCAGCTTCTCTTCTGTGTTGTAACCCCGTCCCCCACTTCTCCCCTGAACCCCCATTCCACTCTCAGGCTGCCCCGGCCTCAGCCATCTGGGAAGGGAGAGACAGCCGAGTTGGGGGGCTTTTCTGGGGGGGAGCGGGTTTGGGGGCGGGGGGTGAAGGCCAACATTAAATGGACCCCAGAAGACCTGGATCCCCCAGGGTAGGACTTGTGGGGGACAGAGGTGAACCCCTAATTTAGCCTCACCCCTAGAAGCCGGCAGCACCCCAATCCTAGACCGACTCCCCCATCTCCTCCCACCCCCAGGCCATTCTCTATGACATCGTGGTCAAGAACTTCGAGAAGATCAAGAAGCCACGGGGCGAAACCAAGGGCATGATCTACTGAGCGACCTTTCACCTCCGGCCTCCACCAATCGCAGGGCGGGTTGGGAAGAGAGGCAAAGGCGGGACTTCCTGTCGTGCCACCTGCTGCTGATCAGAAAAAATAGAGCTTTAGGGGTTTCGCGGCCAGTTTTGAATTTAAAAAAAAAAAAGGCAACAAAATGCCAAAAATTTGCAAAATGGAAAATGTTCGAGGTTGTTGGGAAATTAAGGAAATGAAACTTTGTTTGCCAGAAAAGGAAACTGAACGGCCCAAAACAGACCTGGGAAATCATTTTCAAGATGCAAAAAAAACTAAGGACTTTAAAAAAAAAAATCAAAGGAAATTGAGCAGCAAAAAAATGAAAGGACGAGATCTGATAGCGACACAGTCTCTGCCCCCAAGTCTGCGTGAAATGGCAAAAATTCAGCCTGGCCCCAGTGAAGAAAAGCCGTAAACGAGCCATGATTCAGTACGACGAGCGTCATGAAATGGAAACCACGAATGTCAAAACACATCCCGGGACTAGAAATCCAACCCACCGCCTTACAGGGAAGATTTTGCCCCCACAAGTTCAGGTTTTTGGCATTTTAATTCTTTATTTTGTCCTTTTCGCAACTAGTTTTGCCTTATGTTCCTTAGCGGTTTAAGGAGTTGCAATAAAATAAAATTAATGAATTGAAAGCAAATGGCCCCAAATTCTGTAGGGTCCGAGGTCGGTGGTGACATTTCCTTGGGGTTTTGACGGTCATATTTTGCATGTCAGGAGGTTTGGGGCATTGAATGGCCTTCAGTTTTTTGCCGTCCGACACTCATCGCTTAGGGGAAGGAGGATGCTGGGAAAACGACAGAACAATCAGGTGCCGAAAAGGAAAAATAAAAATAATCCAAAGGAAATTAAAGGCCAAAATAAAAAACTTTGTGAAATCTGCAAAAACAATGATGAATATGAATAATGAATAAATTTGAGGAAATCACAGTTCTGAAGACAAAGGTAGACTAAATTTGTCAAATAAATTATCCACTAGGAAATATTCCGTCATCTCTCGTAGCCACTAGCAGTAGCCAAAAAAGGGACCTAAATTTAGCATTTGGGGGCTGATGGGAGGAGTCTGGGCTCATTGGGGGAGGGGAAGGGGTGGAATAAATATAAAGCAATCAGTGAAAGTCAGCTGAGTCTTTACTCGGGCCAGCCAATGGGGGTGTGCCATTGTTCCAAGCAGTCCAATCAGAATACAGCCCTGGTTTCCCCAGGCCAGCCAATAGGGTCCCTCAGGCACTGCCATTGGCGACAGACACCAGCCGGGCGATCTCGGTGTTGAGGTGCTGATTGGTCCAGTCCCGTCTGATGTCATCAAGGTGGGCGTCGAAGTCGACCAATTGGGTGTGAGCTTTAGCCTCCAGCAGGGACTTGCAAATGTGGCGGGAGGATTCCCAATCTTGCCACATGACTCTGAAAGAGACAGGAGGGGATGAGGTAAGTCCCGGACGCCTGGTTCCCATCCCTGGTCACCCTGAGGGCTGGGAGCATGGGGTGGGCACCGTCCCGGACGCCTGGGTCCCATCCCTGGTCACCCTGAGGGCTGGGAGCGTGGGGTGGGCACCGTCCCGGACGCCTGAGTCCCATCCCCGGTCACCCTAAGGGCTGGGAGCGATCGGGGGGGGGGTGCCGTCCCGGACGCCTGGGTCCCATCCTCGGTCACCCTGAGGGCTGGGCAGCGTGGGGGCACCATCCCAGACTCCTGGGTCCCATTCCCAGGGACTGGGTAGCATGGGGGGCCCATGCCAGGTTTTGGGGGAACCCCACTCACAGGTTCTTGTCCTTGGGGAGCCAGTGCCGATCCCGCTGCTCCAGCACAACGACGGGGGGCACGCGGGGGTTCTGGGTCAGTTTCCGGTTATCCAGCTGCGGGGAAGGAGAAGGGGGGGGAGTTGGGGGGCACACTGGGAAGACCCCCCAACCACCCTCCAAATGTCAATCACAGCCCTCCACCCTCTGTAGGCACCCCCATAGGGTCCCTGATCACAGCCCCACACACACACACTGCCCCTAGGGGGCCCACTCCAGCCCCCCAAAACCCCAGATCTCACCATGATCAATACAGCACCCTCAGAGAGCTCAGCCAGGCGTCCAGCCATCTTCAGAGCCAGGGGGGTGGGGCTACATGGGGGGGCAGGAGAGATGTCAGGGGGGAATGGGGACCCCCTCCCTGCCCCCCTGGGGACCCCTAAAGTTACCTCATGTCGTCCAGCCCGGCATTGGCCTGGTAGTACCCAGCCACCAGCAGGTTAGAGCGAGACGCCCACAGATCAACCTGGGGAGAGGGGAGAGGTTGAAAGGGGAGCGTGCCCCATACAGCGCCCCCCTGCTGCCTGGTGCCCCACACGGAGCCCCCCCCACACGGAGCCCCCAACACCCACTGCAGCCTGGCGCCCCCAGCCTCCCCACCCCATAGGGAGCCCCCCTGCCCAGCCCCGACCACCCCCTGCCGCCCACCTGGTTCAGAGCCACCTCCAGCATGACGCTGAGAGCCAAGTTGCTGTGGAAAAGGGGGACGCAGTCGGTGAGGAACAGACACTCGGGGGGGCCCCCCCGGCGCCCCAGGAGCAGCCCATTGACAGCGGCGTGGGGGTGCCGGGCGGCGTGGAGGCACATCTTAGCATAGGCCTGGGTGGAGACCTCCACCTCGCCCATTCTGCCAGGCAGCAAAGGGTTAACACAGCCGGTGCCCCTCACTCCCGACCCGCAGCCCCCCGCTAGTCCAGCCCTGCCCCCCCCAGTCCTCCCGACCCGCAGCCCCCCACTAGTCCAGCCCTGCCCCCCCAGTCCTCCCGACCCGCAGCCCCCCACTAGCCCAGCCCTGCCCCCCCAGTCCTCCTGACCTGCAGCCCCCCGCTAGTCCAGCCCTGCCCCCCAGTCCTCCCGACCCGCAGCCCCCCGCTAGTCCAGCCCTGCCGGTGCCCCTCACTCCTGACCCGCAGCCCCCCTAGCCCGGCCCTGGGCTCTCACCTTCCCCCTGCACTGAGCCCCCCCAGGATATTGCTTGTCAGGGTCCCCACAGCTGCCCCCCTCGCCCTCTGATTGGCTGACTACAAACCAATCGCGTCTCGAGTGTGCGCTTTGCTTCTCTGGGTCCTGATTGGCCAGTGCGCCCTCCCCACAAGGGCATGGGGCCGCTGCTGTCTTCGCCGATTGGCTGAGTACCGCCCCCATCCCGAACGTGCCCCCCCAGGTCCTCCAGAGCCATAGAGGCGGCTCCTAGAGCGGCCCCAGGAGCAGCAGAACCCGGAAAAGACATCTCCCTGCCCCATGGGGAGGGGCTACGGGGCGTTACCCACCATGCCCTGGGGCACATGTTAAAAGGCGGGGGCGGGGCACAATTGCCTAGGCTCAAGGGGGGATGACAGGGCACTACCCATGATGCCCTGGGGCACCGATGCTAATCAAAGGGCCACGGTGCTTTCCCCACAATGCCCCTGGGGCTAGGCGCCGAGGGTCCTGTTCCCCACAACACCCTGGGGGGCAGACGAGGGGCCCATTCCCCACAACACCCTGGGGGGCAGACGCCGAGGGGCCCATTCCCCACAACACCCTGGGGGGCAGACGCCGAGGGGCCTGTTCCCACAATGCTCCGGTGGCCGGACGCCGAGGGGCCCGTTCCCACAATGCCCCAGGAGCCGAGGGGCCCATTCCCCACAATGCCCCAGGAGCCGAGGGGCCCATTCCCCACAATGCCCCTGGGGCCGAGGTGCCCATTCCCACAATGCCCTGGGGGCCGGGCACCGGGCGAGGAGCGGCCCATTCCCACAATGCCCTGGGGGACAGACGCTGAGGGGCCTGTTCCCACAATGCCCCGGGGGCCAGACACCAACACAGGAGGCAGGTTCTGGGGGAACTGTTTATTTGCAGTCTGGTTCCGGCCCCTCCCCTGCTGGGGGGCAGGGCTGGGGGGGGCAAGCGCCCTGGGGCCCTCAGTACATGGACGGCTTCTCCTCGCCCTTGGGGTTTGTCAGCTTCTCCAGGTTCTGGGTGAGGATGTGATAGAGCTCGGCCTGGGAGGGGAGACAAAAGAAAGGAGCTCGAGGGGGGCAGAGAAACCCCCACAGAGAGATTCCCCCCTGAACCGAACCCCTCCCAGTGGAGCCCCCCCCAGCCCTCACTGAGACACCCACAGAACCACACCCCCTGGGGTCCCCTCCCCATTCCCTGCCCCACCAGCCCTCACTGAGACCCCCACAGAGCCACACCCCCCTGGGGTCCCCTCCCCATTCCCTGCCCCACCAGCCCTCACTGAGACCCCCACAGAACCACACCCTCCGGGATCCCCTCCCCGTTCCCGCCTCCCCCTAGCCCTCACTGAGACCCTCACAGAACCACACCCCCGGGGGTCCCCTCCCTGTTCCCTGCCCCGCCCAGCCCTCACTGAGACCCCCCACAGAACCACACCCCACGGGGTCCCCTCCCCGTTCCCAGCCCCCCATACTCACGTAGAAGCCCCGAATGTCCAGCACCATGGTCCGGATCTCCCCATAGATCACCTCGTCCCGCTCATGGACCAGAGTCCGGTAATCCATCTGGGGGCAGGGGACGCCGGTTAGCTTGGCTGGGGGCACTGCTGTGGGGAAGCTCACAGCCCCGGAGCCCCCAACCCCTGGCTCAGGGCACTGCTGTGGGGAAGCTCACAGCCCCGGAGCCCCCAACCCCCTGGCTCAGGGCACTGCTGTGGGGAAGCTCGCAGTCCCGGAGCCCCCCAACCCCCTGGCTCAGGGCACTGATGTGGGGAAGCTCGCAGCCCAGGAGACTCCCAGCCCCTGTTTCAGGGCACTGCTGTGGGGAAGCTCGCAGCCCCCAATCACTTACCACGTGGGTCTCCTTCGAAGCCTTTGCCACGGCATCTCCTCGCTCAGAGAAATATCTGGGGGTGAAGAGAGAGTGAGAGCAGGCCCAGACCATTACCCATAGTGCCCTGTGGCACAGACGCCCATGGGGAGAGTATTACCCACAGTGCCCTGGGGCTGGGGCACCAATGTAGAGCATTACTCAGGATTCCCTGAGGCATGAAAGCCAATGTAAGCAATTACCCACCATGCCCTGGGGCAGAGACATGGTTGGGGGGGGCGTGACCCACAATGCCCTGGGGCAGACATGGGGGATGGCGAAACTCACTTGGAAATAGCTGTTTGGAAGCCCTCGACCTTGGTCTTGATGGCCGTCACCCGCTCCAGCACCTTCTCCTGGAGGAGGGAGGAGATGGGGGTGAGATTGGGGTGCCTATAGAGGGGGGACTGGCTGAGGGGGGACTGAGGGGGCCCTTACCTGAATGGCCACCCCAAAATCATTCCCGTCCTCAATTCTGGGGATCAGGTGATGGATCCAGGTGATGACCTGGAGACAGAGAGACAGTGAGAGGGGGCCAGGGCACTGCTAGGGGGAAGCTCGTAGCCCTGGCATCCCCCACCCACTGGGGACACCATTGCAGGGAAGCTCGCAGCCCTGTGGGCACTGCTGCAGGGAAGCTCGCAGCACCAGCGCAGAGGAGGGTTCGGGGGGGCTCACCAAAACACATTTCTCCTTCAGCTCCCGCACCTCTGGCTTGACCCGGCCCAGCAGCGTCACCATGGCCTCGTTACCCTTCAGGTAGCCACATTTGGGAGCTGGGGGGGGGGAAGAAAAGGGAGGACAACAGGGGGTGAGTCCACAGCCCAACCCAGCCCCCCCCAAATCCTGCCCCCCCAAAACTGCCCCAAAACTCACTCTCCTTTTTCTCCTCCTTATCCGTCTCCATGTTAGTCGAGTCCTGGAGGGGGGAAGGGGACAGGAAATGGGTCAGCGCCTCGCCAGCACAGGGTGGTGTAACACAGGGGGAGGAGGGTTACCTCAAAACTCACCTCGTCCTCATCCTTGGGGGGCGGGTCAGGGATGGGGATATCCAGGGGGGCCCGGAGGGTCGAGAGATCCTTGATGTTCAATGAATCCTCCTGCATAACAGCAAAGTTATCTGTGGGGGGCGCTCTCCCGGGGGGAGAAAAAAGGGGGGCAGGGGTGTGAGGGCCAACCCGGGGGGCACTGACAGTGTGGGGGAGACCCCAGGGCTGACAGTGTGGGGGAGACCAGCAGGGGTGTTCTGGGGCGACCCTGGGGGGGATCCCAACTGGGGGCAACCGAGGGCTGTTGTGGGGTCCCAGCACTGGGGGGCACTGACAGTGCATGGGGGAGTATGGGTGCATGGGGAGGGGGCGTTCTTACCTTCAGGAACTTGTCCAGTTGAAAGATTTTTTGGGGTAAAAATGTTGACAGGAATTGCTCAGCCTGGGGGGGAAGAGAGAGGGGTCACAGGGGGTATTTGGGGGATAATTCATCCCAGTGGGGGGCAGTTAATCATGGGGGGGCAGATTTACCTCCTTGAAGAGAGATTCCCTGAAGAGCTCGACCTAAAAACACGGAGAGGGCAAGAAAAGGCAGCTGAGTCTGGGGTGGGTCACGGCTGTGAAAACAGGGCTCAAGACCTCTGCCAACCCCCCTCCCCACAGCACGGCGCCCCCTGGTGACTCCCATCTCACCACGGCACAGTGCCCCCGCTGGCCCCGTGCCCCACGGCCCCACCAGCCCACCTCCCTCCCCACAGCACGGTACCCCCCTACTCCACAGCGCCCCCTGCCAACCCCCTTCCCCACTGCACGGCGCCCCCCCCTCGCCCCACAGCCCCCTCCCCCTTCCCGACGGCGCCCCCTGCCGGCCCGCTCCCCGCAGCACGTGGCCGGCTCGGGGATTCCCCTGGGGAAGCGGAAGGGGGATCCCCCGGGGGTGACGCACGAGTTGGGGGGTCCTGGGGGGACAGGTTTCCATCCCTCTCCTTGGCCCCCTCATCTCATCTCACCCGCCCCCCGATCTCGCCGCCCCCCCGCTGCACCCCCGATCTCGCCGCCCCCCCGATCTCGCCGCCCCCCCACTGCACCCCCGATCTCGCCGCCCCCCCACTGCACCCCCCGATCTAGGGGCCCCGCAGCCCCCCACCTGCCGGCGGGACTCCCCGCTGACTTTCACAGCGCAGGCCTTGGCCATGGTCCGGGTCTGTCTGTCCGCGGGAGCCCGGCTCTGACCCCTTTCGATTTCACTTTGCCGGGCCCGCCCCCGCCCCGCCCCGGGCAGCGCCCCCTGCCGGCCCCCGCCAGCCTTGGGGTCCCCCGAGACCTCCTGCCCCTACTCCCACTCCCTGCCCCCCTACCATCCCCTGCCAGCCTTGGGGTGTCCCGAGACCTCCTGCCCCTACTCCCACTCCCTGCCCCCCTACCATCCCCTGCCAGCCTTGGGGTGTCC